TTATTTATCGTTCCTTAGGTCAGGCCGATGACTGTAGAGGGCTCTGGGCCTCCTAGATGGGGTCGGAGCAGATGGGGTCGGAGGATCGCGGCGCATCGCCGATGCATCGGCGGTGCGGCTCGATGTGGGGCCCGATTTGCTACACGCCGACGTCGCCGATGCACCGCCGACGTCGACGATGCATCGCCGGCGCATTGGCGATGCCTTGGCGATACATCGGCGATGCATCGGCGATGCGGCGCGATCCCTCGACCCCATCTACTCGGACCCCATCTAGGAGGCCTCTAAAGGCAGGAGGGTTACAGGCGGCCCGGACTAGTAGGTCGACCCTGCCAGATCAAGGGTACCCTCGTGTCCTGTGTCCTGCGACCCATGCCTCCTGCACTTCTGTGGCAACGTGGCCCTCGGAAGGGTCTTGTGCCCTCTCGCGTGTCCTTTTCCAATCAATCAGGAGGGGAAAAAACACACAGACACAATTCATCGTCGATCCCCAGGAAAGCATGGGAAAATATAGGAATTGGGCGGGAAGACGAAAACCCAGAAAATATAGGAAAATATAGGGGGGGATCCTTTTCTTTGTGAGTATTTCTTTGCGTGTCCTTGGGCCCCTTGAATCAAGTCCGACTGCATGCTTTCCGTCCGGGTATCCTGGGGTTCTTCGCTCCGCGCGCCGCGCGGTGGCTTCCCGAAGCCGTTGGAGAGGCTGCTGCGTTCAGGGTGCTCCGGGTTCCGCTCAGGCGAACTTCGCGCGCGGGTTTTCGGGGTTGGGATTTTTGCTCTCCAATCAAGTCCGTGTCCTCTCGCGTGCCCTCTCTCAGGAGCGAAAGAAGGACGTACATGTACATGAATCCACGCTGGTTTCGAGAGTTCACATTGCGCAAATGTTCGTATAACGCGGCCGGTCTCGCGGATCGAGGGGCCGTGTTCATGTACATGGCTGGGCGCGTACGTCCTTTGTGGGCTCCCTACTCTCCAATCAGGTCCGACTGCATGCGAAAGCCTTCGCCCATTGGCAGAGCCCGCTCCGGACCGGCCCCCCGGAGCCCTATTGCGGTCCCCGGAGCCCGGGCCAGGCTGGCCAAGCGGCGGGCCAGCCGCGGAGCGGGAGCGCACGGGGGAGGCACACACCCACACACACACACACACACCGAAGGCCTTCGGGGGGGCGTCCTCCTCCTCCTCCTCCTCCTCCTCCTCCTCCTCCTCCTTCATTCTCTCCTCCTCCTTCCTCCTCCTACTCTTCCCCCCCCCCCCCCCCCCCCCCCCCCCCCCCCCCCCCCCCCCCCCCTCCGTAGCCATTTTGGCTCAAGCTGAACCTGGGCCAGGAACAGGATGAGGAGGATGAGGAGACGGCAGCAGGCATCGGCGGCGGCAGCATCGGCGGCTGTGAAGTCGGAGCTACGGCGAACATCTTCGGGGATACGTGGATGAATGGCGAGGCGGTGACGGCAGCAGGCATCGGCGGCGGCGGCATTGGCGGCTGTGAGGTCGGAGCTGGGGGGAAGATCTTGGAGGAGACGGAGTTGGACGGCGAGGCGGTGACGGCAGCTGGCATAGGCGGCGGAGGCGGCATCGGCAGCGTTGAGGTCGGAGCTACTGGGAAGGTCTTCGATGAGACGGAGATGAACGGCGAGGCGGTGACGGCAACAGGCATCGGCGGCGGCGGCATTGGCGGCTGTGAGGTCGGAACTGCAGGGAAGACCATGGAGGAGACGGAGTTTGATGGCGAGGCGGTGACGGCAGCTGGCATAGGCGGCGGCGGCGGCATCGGCGGCTGTGAGGTTGGAGCTACTGGGAAGATCTTCGGAGAGTCGGAGATGACCGATGCGGCGGTGGCTGCGGATAGCTCGTTGGAGGCTCCTGTCTGCGGCATGGCTGGCAAGATGGAGGATGAGAGCGACGATGACGAGGTGCACGAGTTCGGGGTGGAGGTCAAGAACTCGTTCAGCCCGTTCGTGGAGGGCGGGGGCGAACTGAAGGAGGTTCCACCGTTCCCCAACCTTGTCGGCAAGGCTGCGCTGGCGAGCGCGGAGCAGGTAATCGAGTTCGGCGACGACGGCAAGCAGTGGCGTCACGACGATCGCGGTGCTTTGCAGAAGGCTGTGCAGGCGGGCTCAGAGAAATCCAGCGCGTGCGGCGACGTTGGCAGGCAGGACGAAGGACACAAGCATGACATGTACGATCACTTGTCCACCGGGGCGGCCGTCGCGGAGGTCGCGAAGCGCTTTGGAGTCGAGTGGGCCAAGATGCACTTGAAAGAGGAGTGGGTGAGCACCTACCTCGATTAGCGCGGGGCCGCCTGCCCTGTGCTGGCTCGACGTGTGGTGATGTTTTGATAAATTAGGCGAGGGGGGTGGCACCTGCCTTTTCTCCGCGCTGTCGAGGCCCCATTGGGGGCCTTGAAGGCGCGGCTGGGTTCCCTGGGTCGTCCTCGGGGTTCCCGGTTTTCGGCCCTTGGTGGGCCCTCCCTTGGCCCTTTGGGGGGCCTCCGGCGGCCTCCGCTTCTCGCTCCGTCCTGGGCCGGTGTTGTCCCCCTCGGGACGGGCGGGGCCGCTTGCCCTGCGTGGCAGGGACCCCTGGAGTGGGTCCGTATCATCAGAGTCTTCAGAGTCCTCCTCCCCCTCCTCCTCCTCCTCCTCCTCCTCCTCCTCCTCCTCCTCCTCCTCCTCCTCTTCCTCCTCGAAGGCACACACGCGGGTGGGTCATCGTGAGGTCTCTCGAGGGCCTCTCGAGGCCTCGAAGGCCCCTCGAGAGGCATCCCCGGGAGGCCTCTCGGCCTCTCGAAGGCATCTCCAGGAGCACCCGGGGGCCCTTGGAGGCACCTCCCTCGTCCTCCGGTGGGCGAGTGTACTAATCGTGTCTTTCGGGGGCGTCCAGGAGAGGGCGAGGACTAATTGGGGGGTGGATATCATGGCAAATGCCATGACATCTTTCCGATATCTTCTTGTCAGTGTCATGATTGTTATGTTTATAGTATGTGTTATTCCTTCTCTTATGTTTTACTCCTCAACAGACGCTTACGCTATTCCGCCGACCCCAGAAATAAAGCACAGACAGGGCGAGGAGATTTTGCAGGCAAGTAGGAGTCTCTTGGAGTTCCTTTTAGCAGCAGCCTCTGGGAGCGTTTGGCGAGGCATCTGGGGGCCTTGTGGTGCCTCTTCGGGGCCTCTTGGGGGCCTCTTGGAGGGCTCGTGGGACCTCGTGGGGGCGGCTGGAGAGGCCTCTGGGGAGCTCTTGGGGCAATCTTGGGGGGGGGGGGGGGAGGCTCGAAATGTCACTTCGGATTCCTCTTCTTGGGCCTCTGTCGGAGCTCTCTTGGGCCGTCTTGGGAACCTCTGGGGCTGGGGCCGGGGGCCCCTCTTGGGGGTCTCTTGGGCCGTCGGTCGTGGCCCCTGGGGCCGTTTTGGGGCCCTCTCGGGCCGCCTTGACGGCGCATTTGGGGCCGTCTTGGGAGGCCTTTGGGCCGTCTCTTGACCGCTCTCAGCGCGCAAAACGGCGAGCATGCGGACCGACAGTGCAGATCCCCCCCCCCCCCCAGGGGAGCGCAGCGACCGTCGCTTCCCGGAGGGGGCCTCCCCCGCGGGCCTCAGGGGGGGCGCCCTCCGGCCGTCCTGGGCGGGCGCTCTTTGGGCCGTACCGAAGCCTGCCTGGATCACCGTGGGGCTGCCTTTCAGTCGGGCGTGTCCCTCCTCCTCCTCTTCCTCCTCCTCCTCCTCCTCCTCCTCCTCCTCCTCCTCCTCCTCTTCCTCTTCCTCCCCCTCCTCCTCCTCCTCCTCCTGCTCCTCCTCCTGGGGAGGGAGGAGAGGAGGAGGAGGAGGAGAGGAGGAGGAGGAGGAGGAGGAGGAGGAGGAGGAGGAGGAGGAGGAGGAGGAGGAGGAGTGTTCAGACACAGTCAAAAAGCACAGTCTGGGGACGATGTGGTTGGATTCTGGTGGACTGTCTCAGCATGCAAACGGCGAGAATGCTGACTGACAGTGCAGATCTCCCCCAGGGGAGTGCAGCGACTGTCGCTTCCCGGGGGGCCTCCCCCGCGGCCCTCAGGGAGAGCGCGCCCTCCAGCCGTCCTGGGCGCGCCGTGGGCCGCAGCGGAGCCTGCCTGGATCACCGTGGGACTACCTTTCAGTCGGTCGGGGGTGGACAGACCTCCTACCCTGACACGTCGATTAGCGAATTGGCCGTTTTCGGTTTGCGAGAGGGCGTCGCGGCCGTCATTTTGCGGGTCCAGGCCCGTCGGTTTCGGTCCCAGGCCGTTTTCACTAAATATAGGTTTGCTAACGGGAGGTTTGTCCACCGCCGAGTCGGGCGTGTCCCTCCACGGGAGGAGTGTTCAAACGCAGTCCAAAAACACAGTCTGGGGACGATGTGCTTGGATTATGTTTGACTGCCTTGGTGTATTTGCTTGGCTATGTTCAGAATTTGTCTTTCAAAATCCGCCTGTAGGGGGGCATGCCCGACCTGAGGCTACCATGGGCCATTTCGACGATTCCTTTGACTGTCTTGGCGTTTCGGTTGGGCTGTCTTGGCGCTCTGGAGAAGCTCCAGGGAGGCCCGGGGATGCGTTCAGTGCCCTCCCCCTTCCAGCCCCCGTTTCCGCCCGCCCCTCCCCCACCCCCTCTCAAACAGCATTACCCCAGGGGAGGGGGAAGGGGACAGAGGGGCAGCCAATCATTTCACTCGCCTTCTCACGCCCGGTAAGCGGGTGTCGGTGGATTCTTCGTCGTCTACGTCTTCTTCTCCTTTATATTATTATGGTTGTGTTTATTATGGTTGTGTTTGTTATTAATCGTTTTCTTCTTACTAGTATGATTATTCTTTTTAAAATATTACTAGATTTACTCTTATGTTGCTTCTCCTTCTTCTTTCAACGCGCCCCCTGGTTCCCCCCTTCGTCTGCGCACACGCATCAGGCTATGCTGCGCCACCCACCCCCCTCTTCGACACACTCGGACATTGCCTCGACGTGGGGATGCGAGGAAAGCGCACCCATCCGGTGGCGCCAGGCTGCTCTACGTCTTCGGCATACTGCGGTGGCAGCAGGGCTGGGCGGGCCAGCGCTACAGCAACATGGTGTGCCTGGTGCGCCCTCGGCCCTGCCGACCCCGGCCTGGGATCGAGGATCAAGAAGGCGATGCGTTTGGGCCTCCCAGAGCGCCTCTGTGGCCACATCTGGATCCGCTTGAAGCTCTGTCGGCCCTGTCGACACTGGCTTGGGATCGAGGATCGAGGATGCGATGCTTCTGAACCTCCCAGAGCACCCTTGTTGCCACGGATGTATCCGCTCCAAGCTCTGTCGGCCCTGCCGACCCTGGCCCAGATCGAGAATTGTAATTCTGCTCTTGGGCCTCCCAGAGCGCTCTCGTGGCCACGGCTGGATCCGCTTCAAGCAATCTTGCCAGGGCGCATTCCAAGAGAGTTCCAGGGGTCGATGTCGAGGGAGGCAGGTTGGCCCAGATGTCTGGCGTCCGAAAGCAATCGTAGACATCAGTTTTCCAAGCGCTGGGCCTCTGGGGGCCCGTTCTGGCCAGGCACCTCAGCAGCAATGCGGAGCAACCATTTCTCAAGTTTGGGGTCCAGAGTTTTGGAGCACGCGAACAGTCAAGACGCTGCAATAATCGAGCAGTGGCGAAGCATCCTGGCTCGCCTATAGGCCTACCAAACAATGTTTTAACAACCTTATGTGGTTTGCGTGACATGTTCTTAGAACATTTCTGGCTGGGACTGTCTTGTTTTAGCACAGCGGGCGCTATGCTCTAAGAACATTGTTTTTGTTCGAAGAACATGTGTGGATTCATGTCGTGGTAGGCCTATAGGAATGCCGGGATGATCGGTCCCTGCTCGAAATAAGAACAATTTTTGGTTCAGAGCTCTGGTTTTTCGGGCCGTTCCCCAGGCTTAGGTCAGGACCTTTCGCGTGGCTGAGGCCAGCCCTGGCCAGAACTAGACATTCGCCCCTCGTGTACCACGATGGTTGCATAGAAACCTGCCACGACGTCGCAGGTACAGCCCAGGCTGATTCGTAGGTCGACCCTGCCAGATCAAGGGTACCCTTGTGTCTTGCGTCTCGCAACCCATGCCTTCTGCATTCCTATGGCAGCGTGTGAGGGTCTCATGTCCTCTCGCGTGTCCTCTCCAATCGGCCCCGACTGTGTGCTGGCCACTGAGCGACCGACGATGGCCTTGAAGCCGACAGCCAATCCTGCTTCAATCTTGACAGCACATGCTGGCAGCCATCGCCCCCCCGTCGCCCTCTCGCGCTCGGAGGAGGGAGGAGGAGGAGTGACGAGGAGGAGGAAGGAGGAGGGAGGAGGAGGAGGAGGAGGAGGAGGAAGATGAGGACAAAGGGATCCGGGAGAGAGCACGCTCGGGTGTGCCCCTCGGCTGCTGAAGCGCCGTGGGGCCGCGGCCGCCCGGCCCGGGGATGTGGAGTGCCGAACTCAGGCCCAAGGTAGGGCGCTGCTTTCTCCTCCTCCTCCTCCTCCTCCTCCTCCTCCTCCTCCTCCTCCCCCTCCCCCTCCCCCTCCTTCTCCTCCTCCTCCCCCTCCTCCTTCTCCTCCTCCTCCTCCTCCTCCTCCTCCTCCTCTTACCCCAGACGGTGCGGCGGCCCTGCCACGTGGCGAGTCCATGGGGGTGCGGGGTGGCCGCGCGGTTCTGGGGCTCGGGGCCGCGCTTCCCGAAGACGGGCCCACAGGGTCCTCCCCCAACAGCCGCGCGCGAAGTGGCGGGCCCGTGCGAGAGGTCCCCGCACGGCCCGTCGCCGCAAAGTTAGTAGTGATCGTTTTCTTGTTCATTGTTTTGCAGATCGGCGCGGGCACTCGCTCCCTCTTCGCCTTCCTCCCCCCCTCCTCCTCCTCCTCCTCCTCCTCCTCCTCCTCCTCCTCCTCCTCCTCCTCCTCCTCCTCATCATCATCATCATCATCATCATCCTCCTGCCCCCTGCCCCCTCCCTCCCATGGAGTGGATCTTGGCTGTTTCTGGCGCCCGTTTCGAGCAGGTGGAGCCCCTCCCCAATCGAACGCACTGTTGCAAACAGTTGCACTGAGCAGAGGTCCGGCCAGCCAGACCCCACCCCCCTCCCCCCCCGTTTGCGCTCAATGTCGAAACGCCGAACAAGAAATCGCTCACTGGGGGCCCCAAAAAATTTGAGCCACGCGAGGTGCCCGCAGATATAGTTCAGGCGATCGCAAACACATGGATCAGTGGGGCGTGGATCAGCGACGGGTTCCGCTCCCATGTTAAATCGCGGATCTCCGCCGCCGAGCGAGGCGACACCGGCCGCATTTTGGGGCGGGCACCTCCCCGGTCCATGGATTTCGCGACCGCGCGCCAAGTCCAGGGATCACCAGTCCACGGTTGTGCGCCCCCGACTAGTGAGGGAGCTCGGGACCCGAGGCTCGGAAGGAGTCCCGGGCCTCAGGCTGCCGCTCTTTCGCTATATGTGGGTGCGCGTGGTCGGGTCTGGGGGTGCGTCGGCGGCGAGCGAGGGGGGGAAGCAAGGAGGAGAGGGCCTTCTCATCAGAAGTTTTCCGAGCCTTCTCCGAGGACGAAGACGCAGAAAGCCTCTCGGGAGGCTGGAGGGGTTCTGAGAAGCCCCGCCGCCTTCTGAGAAGGCCTTCTCTCCTTCTCACTCCCCCCCCTCGCTCGCGGCCGAGGCGTGGGTATGTCGTCGCCACGCGGGGTCCACCTCGGTCCGACAGAGTCGGCTCCGTGGTCATCTCGGTTGGGCCGATCCGATTCGGTGCCGGTGTTCCATGCGGCCCGTTGCCTGCACGGCGTTGCTGTGCACCTAGGTGCGGCCAGCCGATTCGATTCGGATTCCGTGCCGATGCAGCCCGATCCGACCCGAGCCCAGGGGGTGGCTGGGGGGGTGGGGGGCGGGGGGTGGGGGGGGGTCAGAGTTACGAACATTTCTACGTGCAGCTGGTTTTCGGTCACGCCTCCAAGTACCTGCGGGCTCCAGTCAAAAAAATGCACATGCCCATTCGATCCGACTTCCGATTCGAGGCTGGCTGATCTTGCCACCTCTATCCTCAGGATTGTTATGTCCGGGCGATCCAATCAGTCGTCGGCCCTGGTGCATCCTTGGCACCAGTCTGGTATGCTCTGGCATGGCTCAGCCTAGTCCAGTGCCATGTGTTCTGATGTGTGTCCATTTGGCGTAGAAGTCATCTGTTTCAGTGTAACATTCCACTATAAAAGAACTAACGGTGACTGGCAAATCCCGAAGGAAAGAAAGGCAACGAGGAAGTTGAAGATGAAGATGAAGAGCAACTTCAGTCCTTGCCAAAATGTGGCGGGTGAAGGCATCCGCGGTGCAGAGGCCGCTTTCTTTGAGGAACATTTGGTTAGCGAGCATGCCGGGGAAATCGGCGGCCTTGACGATGACCACGGGGGTATGGCACCACTGGGGAGCCTGGGCCCTCGCCGCCAACCAGTGTGGAGTGGTCGAGGATGAAGCCGGAGATCAGGTTCCTCCTCCTCCTCTTCCTCTGCTGCTGTTAACTCCTTAACATCCTGATCGTTCTGGCTATCCTTGGGCTGCCTCCTCCTCTGGCTTCCTCCCTCCTCCTCCCTCCTTCCTTCTCCCTCCCTCCTCCTCTTCCTCCTCCTCCTCCTCCTCCTCCTGCTCCTCCTCCTCCTCCTGCCTCCTCCTCCTCCTCCTCTTCCTCCTCTTCCTCCTCCTCCTGCTCCTCCTCCTCCTCCTGCTCGTCCTCGTCCTGCCCCCTCCAGGGGCGTGCTGCCTTCTCCTGGGGCCTCCTGGGGCCTCCTGCTGCCGCCCAGAGCATCCTGGGGCTTCCTGGCCTCCTGGAGCCTCCTCGGGCTTCTGGGGCACTTCTCCTTCTCGTCCTCCTGCCTCCTCCTTGTCCTCCGCCTCCTCCTCCTTCTCCTCCTCCTCCCGTTTCTCCTCTTACTCCTCTTCCTCCTCTTCCTCCTCCTGCTCCTCCTGCTCGTCCTCGTCCTGCCTCGTCCCACTCGAGACGAAGCTCCTGGTCGAGATGTCCTCCAGATGCATGCCTCAGGAGCACAGCAGTGGCGCCAGCGACAGGTTTTGGACGGCCCGCTCGGGTTAGTGGCACGATCTGGCGGCCCAATGGGGTTGGGGCTCCCGCTCGAGACTTCCTCACAATTCACTCAGAGACGAGGCTCCCGCTCGAGACGTCCTCGTCCTTCTGGATCCTACGTGTGACGATCGATGCATGTTTTGGATGACCCGTTCGGATTCATAAGATGCTCCCGGGCCCCCACAGGGAGAGGGTTCATCGGGAGATTTGAGACGGGGGTCAACGCAAACGGGGGTCAGCCAGTGCACCGGATCCTGCAGGATCCTGCGAAGACCCCTCTGGCTGACCCAGGTTAGCGAGCCGCTCGTGGCCGCGGGGCGGCCGCGCCTGTTGGCTGACCCGGGTTTGCGAAGCCCTGCGCTGCAGTTTTTTCCTGCATTGCAATTTGTTGGTTTTTTGTTGACCCGGGTCTGGATTGACCCGGGTCAGAAGATCCCCGAGGTTTCCATTTGAGGCTTCCTCACAATTTGCACACAGATGAATTTCTCGCTCGAGAGGTCCTGACGATGGCTATGTGAGCATGTGTGTGAGTAAGTGCGAGTGCAATGATGGTGGCCGGTGATCATGGTGGGCTGATGACAGTAGTGAGACGGAGTGATGGTGATGATGGGTGCAAGGAGAGGAAGAGAGGGTGCGGTTCATTCCTGCGCGGGGATGTCCAGAGAAAACAAGATCCCCACTCTGGATGTTCCTGTCATCCGCTCAACGAGCCCAAGGAACAAACAACTGCGCTTTCCGTTCTTGCTCGGTGAGTTTCCGCCATGAGTTGCCCATGTCAACCCTGATGTCATACACAAGTGTGTGTACTGTTTCTTTTGTTGTGCGGTTGGAGAGTTGTGTGGGTGCAGGTGACCACCTGCGTGGTCATCTACAGCGCGCTGATTACTCCGTGGTCGCCGTGGACAGCCAGTGGCGCACCTAACGCGTCCAAAGATGCACCGATCACCATAATTGCCGGTTGTTGCGTGACAGTGCGGCCTACGATTCGATGCGATTCGATTCGCTGGTTGGGGCCGTGATTCCGATTCGATTCACCAGTGTCGGTCAAGGCCACATTTCCGTTCGATTCGGGACGATTTTCTGGCGATCCGATCGGTTGCCGAGTTCACGCTTGCGTGTGCAGTTGCATTGCAGCAGTATTGATTATATAATGCCAATGTCACGTCAGCACCTGCCACATATTACGTGCCATTGATTATGGGAGCATGTTCTATAGCGCTCGATCGCGCAGGCAGTATTATAGTGACCAACCGTCGTTCGCAGGTGTCGTTCGAATATGTCATTGTCTTCCTCGCTGCCAGGTGGGGACAGAGAGTCCACATACGGCTCGCTTATGGACCGGGATGTGGGAGCAGCCAGAAAATTGCAGCGCGATCGTGGATGATGGCATGATTCAGGATGAGAAGCGTTCTGCCCATTCTTAGTCTCAAACAGTGTCAGTTCGCCTCCCCGCTCGTGCGACTCTTGCCTCTCGAATGGATCGTTGGGCAGTGCTAGGATTCGGCTCCTGGCGTGGACAGGGGGCCAGGGTGCAAGAGTAGTGAGCTCACAGAAGGCAACACACACACTTCATTCGAGACAAAGGTTCTTTGTTCAACGCAAGAGAGCTCTTTGAAGGTGGCCGCTGCTGTTTTCAGCGGAAGCCAAGCATGCCTTCAGCGCAACACGTTTGCCTTCTCACACTGCTGCTTTCAGCGGAAATTGCTGCGTGCTGTGAGCGGGAGGGCAGGACACGTGCGTGGCGATCGGCTGCCTCGTCAGCCTGACCTCCATGCGGCGCAAGGAGCGCCCCTGCGAGCGCCGGGTCTCTGTGACCCCTCCGAGCTCCGGGACGGAAGGGTCGGGTCCGCTCTGGTCTCGGAGGGGGTCCCCAAACGGGGTGGTGACCACACCGTGCGGTGAGTCGGTGGGGATTCGGGGTCACCGCACGGTTTTGGGACTCGAGTCCCTCTCCGAGGACGTCTCGGGCGACAGGGGCCTCCGGGGTCCCAAGACCGTGCGGTGACGGACCGTGCGGTGAGGTCTTGGGGGATTTCGAGGCCACCGCACGGTCCGTCACCGCACCGTTTCGGGACTCCCAAGTTCGGGAGGGGGGAGCGATGTTCCTCACAGTGGAGGCCCATGCCAAGAAACACCCTGCTTGCCTCCAGGGTGCCCTGGGTTTCTTGGGTTTCGGTGGTTCTGCCATGGGCAGCGGGACGTTCCCACACCGGAAATCAACGGACGTCCTGGGGGGGTGGGCTTCGTGTGGAAGGGCTCTCGTGGTCGGGCCTCCACTGTGGGCCCTTCCTGCTAGTCTGGTGCTCGCTCGTTGCGATGCTGCTGCCTCCTGCGGTTTTGTCTGACCCTGGCTTCCGTGGGCCTCCCGTCGGTGGCGGCGGAGCGTCTTCACCCGCCTATAGGACCACCCGAGACGGATCTTGGGACCTTCTATTGTTTGCACCGGGTGTTCTTGGAGAAAATGTCTGGCCAGTCTTGTGTTGATTCACCGGCTTCATGTTCTAAGGTTCGAGCTCGTGTTCAGAAGGTTGTTCTTGATAATACCTTATCGTTGCAGGACTATGGAGATGCTGGGACGGTCGGTTCTTCTGAGCCAGAGGGGGGGCACGTCTGAGCCAGAAGGGTCTTGGAGCACAATCGTGGTTGGAGCGGCGGCGGCATTCTGGAGGTGTGTCGCGGGAGGCTGCGCTACAGAAGATTGCACATGCTGGTAGGCAATTCCCCTCTGTCGCCTACTCTCTCCCCCAGCTTCCGCCTCCTTGTATTATTGTTAAGTCGGGCATATAGGAAGAATATCCAAAAAGTAGTCAAACAAATAGTATGGGGACGATGCTTTACTACTTTTGACTATGTTGGACTGTTTGTTTGTTTTACTATTTGTACTGTGTCGTCCAAAATCCGCCTGTAGGGGGACAGGCCCGACCTAATATCATTGCTTCTGCTTGCGAGGGGAGTTGCGTGAGCGCCCCTGGCGAATCCCGGTGGGATTTACGCGCCTGCGTGTTCCATACCTTCTATTCTCTGCTCCGCGCCTGCGGCTTCCTTTCACCCTTGCTTAGGTCGGGCATGTCCCTCTGAGGATTCTTATAAATCATCCCGGCAAAGCAACCTAACAGCGATGTGTAGGAGCATATCTGGAAGCATTCCCCTTAAGATTCAGATGTGAATCCAGTTGTAGAATTCTGCTGTTCTCGCAGTCGTAGTCGCATTCGCGATGACAGTCGCAGTGGCAACGGCAGTCGCAGTCACAGCCTCAGCCTCAGCCTGCCTCAGCCTCAGCCTCAGCAGCCTCAGCCTCAGCCTGCCTCAGCCTCAGCCTCAGCCTGCTTCAGCCTCAGCCTCAGTCTGCCTTCAGCCTCGGCCTCAGCCTCAGCCTGCCTCAGCCTCAGCCTGCCTCAGCCTCAGCCTCAGCCTCACCCTGCATCAGCCTCAGCCTCAGCATCAGCCTCATCAGCCTCAGCCTGGCTCAGCCTCCTCAGCCTGCCTCAGCCTCAGCCTGCCTCAGCCTCAGCCTCAGCCTACCTCGGCCTCAGCCTGCGTCAGCCTCAGCCTCAGCCTGCCTCAGCCTCAGCCTGCCTCAGCCTCAGCCTCAGCCTTCGGCCTCAGCCGTCACCTGCCTCACATCCTCCCCCCCCCAAAGCCTGCATCAGCATAATCGTCACCTGCCTCAGCATCAGCCTGCCTCGCCTCATCCTCAGCCTGCCTCAGCCTCAATCCTCAGCCTGCCTCAGCCTCAGCCTCAGCCTGCCTTTAGCCTCGGGGCTCAGCCTCCGCCTGCTCAGCCTCAGCCTCATGAGCCCTCGCCTCAGCCTCATCCTCAGCCTCAGGACCTCAGCATGCCTCAGCTCAGCCTTCCTCAGCCTAATAAGCCTCACCTGCTTCAGCCTCAAGCCTCGCCTCAGCCCTGCTTCGCTCAGCCTAAGTCTGCCTTCAGCCTCGACCTCAGCCTCAGCCTGCCTCAGCCTCAGCCTGCATCAGCCTCAGCCTCAGCCTCAGCCTCAGCCTGCCTCAGCCTCAGCCTGCCTCAGCCTCAGCCTCAGCCTGCCTCTGCCTCAGCCTCAGCCTGCTTCAGCCTCAGCCTCAATCTGGCTTAAGCCTCGGCCTCAGCCTCAGCCTGCCTCAGCCTCAGCCTGCCTCAGCATCAGCCTCAGCCTGCCTCAGCATCAGCCTGCCTCAGCATCAGCCTGCCTCAGCCTCAGCCTCAGCCTGCCTCAGCCTCAGCCTCAGCCTGCTTCAGCCTCAGCCTCAGTCTGCCTTCAGCCTCGCCTCAGCCTCAGGCTGCCTCAGCCTCGGCCTGCATCAGCCTCAGCCTCAGCCTCAGCCTGCCTCAGCATCAGCCTGCCTCAGCCTCAGCCTCAGCCTCAGCCTGCCTTCCGCCCTCGGTCTCGCCTCAGCCTCCTGGGCCTCAGCCTGCCTCAGCTCAGCATCAGCCCGCCGCAGCATCAAAATGTGTCAGCGGGATGGGTTCCTAGGAACTCGAGAACACGAAGTCGGCCTACGTTTGTGGCTCAGGCATGTCAAAATCATGCCCAGAGAATGGAGTCTGGGAACTCGAATACACGAAGTGGCCTACAGTTGGCTCTGGGGGCATTCAAATCATCGCCGCAGGTGAATGGGTTTTGCTGGAACTCGAAGACCCACGAGTTGCCTACAGTTGGCCTCCACGGGCATTCAAAATCATGCCCTGGAATGGAGTTCTGGGAACTCGAAGAACACGAAGTGGCCTACAGTTGGCTCCGGGCATTCAAGATCATGCCCAGGAATGGAGTTCTGGGAACTCGAAGACCACGAAGTGTTTTACTGTTGGCTAAAAAAGGAGTCCCCGGATTCCCGCGGCACTCCCCGGATTCCCGCGGCAGTCCGGCAGACCCCCCTGGGGAGTCATGATGTTCTATTTTGAGACCATTAGAAACCTATCAGTTTTCGCTGTTATGTAAATAGTCACACAATCGTCTGGGAATGATTTCCCGACACTTATTGATTATGTTGGGGGGATTTCTGATTATTTGTCATTTGTCTTCCAAGACCTGCCTGTAGGGGGACATGCCCGACCAAACTAAACCCAGGCGGAGATTGGGAGGGCTATCCTGCAGCGGAGTTACTGCTTCGAGTCAGACACCGGTCAGTCGTTTGCGCTGTCTCCCTCTCGTCTCGTCCTCCATTTTCTCCAGACTGGCGATGGGAACAAACGTGTGTGTGTGTGTGGTGTGTGTGTGTATGTGTGTGTGTGTTTGTGTGTTTGTGTGTTTGTGTGTTTGTGTGTTTGTGTGTTTGTGTGTTTGTGTGTTTGTGTGTGTGTGTGTGTGTGTGTGTGTGTGTGTGTGTGTGTGTGTGTGTGTGTGTGTGTGGTGTGTTGTGTGTGTGTGTGGTGTGTGTGTGTGCTGTGTGCGTGGCGTGACGTGAGTGCGTGCGTGCGTGCGCGTGCGTGCGTGCTGCGTGCGTGCGTGCTCGTGCGTGCGTGCGCGTGCGCGTGCGCGTGGCGCGTGCGCGGGCGCGTGGCGCGTGCGCGTGCGCGTGCGCGTGCGCTGCGCGTTGCGCCGTGCGCGGCGGGTGCGGGTGCGGGTGCGGGTGGGGGTGCGGTGGAGGGTGCGGTGCGGTGCGGTGCGGGTGGCGGGTGCGGGGTGCGGGTGCGGTTGCGGGTGCGGGTGCGGGTTGCGGTGCGGGTGCGGGTGTGCGGGTGGCGGGTGCGGGTGCGGGTGGGTGCGGGTGCGGGTGCGGGTGCGGTGCGGGTGCGGGGGTGGGGTGGGGTGGGGAGTGGGGGGGTGGGGGTGGGGGTGGGGGTGGGGGGTGGGGGTGGGGGTGGGGGTGGGGGTGGGGGTGGGGGTGGGGGTGGGGGTGGGGTGGGGGTGGGGGTGGGGGTGGGTGTGGGGGTGGGGGTGGGTGGTGGGGGTGGGGTTGGGGGTGGGGGTGGGGGTGGGGTGGGGGTGGGTGGGGGTTGGGGTTGGGTGGGGGTGGGGTTGGGGGTGGGGGTGTGGGTGGGGGGTGGGGGGGGTGGGGGTGGGGGGGGTTGGGGATGGGGGTGGGGGGGGGGGGTGGGGGTGGGGGTGGGGGTGGGTGGGGGTGGGGGGTAGGGGGTGGGGGTGTGGGTTGGGGTGTGGGGGATGGGGGTGTGGGGGTGGGGGCTGGGTTGTGGTGTGTGTGGTGTTGTGTGTGTGGCTGTGCGTGCGTGCGTGCGTGCGTGCGTGCGTGCGTGCGTGCGAGCGTGCGTGCGTGCGTGCGTGCGTGCGTGGTGCGTGCGTGCGTGCGTGCGTGCGTGCGTGCGTGCGTGCGTGCGTGCGTGCGTGCGTGCGTGCGTGCGTGCGTGCGTGCGTGCGTGCGTGCGTGCGTGCGTGCGTGCGTGCGTGCGTGCGTGCGTGCGTGCGTGCGTGCGTGCGTGCGTGCGTGCGTGCGTGCGTGCGTGCGTGCGTGCGTGCGTGCGTGCGTGCGTGCGTGCGTGCGTGCGTGCGTGCGTGCGTGCGTGCGTGCGTGCGTGCGTGCGTGCGTGCGTGCGTGCGTGCGTGCGTGCGTGCGTGCGTGCGTGCGTGCGTGCGTGCGTGCGTGCGTGCGTGCGTGCGTGCGTGCGTGCGTGTGTGTGTGTGTGTGTGTGTGTGCGTGTGTGTGTGTGTGCGTGTGTGTGTGTGTGTGTTGCAGCTCTCTCTCTGAAGGTGGTTCCTAGGGCAGTCCCGTTGCATCTCCTACACAGGGTTTGCGATCCAGTCGTTCTGGTTGCAAGTTGGTGATAGAGCAGTCGGCAGGCACACCTGAAGCATCCTGCCAGGCGCGGTGCCCGAACCCTCGCACACACCCGACGCGCTATGTGACCACTCAGAGGTCCATGCCACCCCTGTGATTGTCGTGACGGTGAAACTACGCATCATAATACGATGTGTTGTTCTCTTCACTTGTCTTAGCACAAACGCAGGGGTCTTGACAGCCCGCCTGCTTCCAAAGTGGAGCATCCTGCGTACTTCACTTCGCCACACAGGCTAACCAGCCAAGACCCCATGTGGTCAGACCCCCCGCTTGCCAAAGCATGTGAGATCATGAGCAGGGCGCATCTCGTGGAAGCAGAGCAGGTCCTCATCTGCACCACCGACTCGGCGGCCCCGTAGAGACCGAACGGTGCGCAAGCAGCCGGTCAGATCTCACCAGGACGAGGGGGCGAGAGGATGCGAGAGGTCTGAGCTACATTCGCACGCCTGGTCGAGCTGAAAGTTGGGAGATGGGGTGGGAGAGGGGGGCCCAGAAGGTTCGGGAGCCTCCCAGGAAGGCGGATGTGCCTCGACTCCTGACGGCCACAGGTGGCGCGGTCTTCCAATAAAAGACCGCTTGTGCCATGCCGTGTTCTCGTGCAAGACGGGCTTCGGCGTACTGATTGTCGTATCTGCTTCGACTCCTTGACGGCGTCGGAGGGATCGGGCAGGGCACGGCGAGACCCGAGCGGAGATGGCACCCGTGTCGTGTCTGCGGCGCCCTGCCGTGCCGACGCGGTGGCGCGAGCGGCCCGCAAGCGGCTCGGCATCCGCGCGAACGCCGTGGTGTGACTGCTCGTGCGCACGCGGCCCGACGGGTCACGTCCGATTCCTCCCAGTTCACTAGGGGGTGGGCGGACCTCCTACCCTGACACGTCGATTAGTGATTTGTCCGTCTTCGGTTCTCGAGAGGGCGCCGCGGCCGTCATTTTCCAGGCTTGCGCCCGCCAGGTTTGGGCCCGGCCCGAGGTCGTTTTCAATAAACCACCTTTTACTAAAGGGAGGTCTGTCCATCCCCGATTCACACTCCCAGCTGCTTTCCCTGAGGTCGATAAGGACGCATGTGCATAAGCATGGACTTCGGAGCTCTTCGCGGGTTTTCTTGGACCTGCGGTTGGGCCCCCCTGGCGGCGCCTCCGGCGAAGCCCTTGGCAGATCCAGGATATCAGCGCAGACTTCCGGAAGTCTATGTGTATGCAGTCTGTGGCTCTGCCAGAGCCCCTCCCTTTTCGGGGAAACACAGACATGGATCCAGGCGCGTGAGTCAGCGACATGCAGCGTTAGGTCGGGCATGTCCCCCTACAGGCAGATTTGGGGTGAAAAGCAAAAAGCAGCAAAACATGCCCAAGCAGATTCAACGAACAGTTCCCAGACTATCTCTAACTGTTTGGGGACATCCCTTCTGTCGAGGGGCACCCCCGACGTAAATGTAGCGCTTCCCGTGCAGGATCGGCGCTCCGTCGCGAGTCGGGCGGCACTGGCGCCATGCTTCGGGCCGTGCCTTCTCTGATCCGTGGACCCGGCGCCCACGCGCCGCGCCCATGGAGAGCCTTCTCTTGTGTTACCCTCTGGGCAATGACGCGCGTCACGTCGCCCCCTCCTCCTGCCCCCCCCCCTCCTCCCCTCCTCCTCCTCCTCCTCCTCCTCCTCCAACCTCTTCCTCCTTCCTCCTCCTCCTCCTCCTCCTCCTCCTTCTCCAACCTCTTCCTCCTCCGCCTCCTCCTCCTCCTCCTCCTCCTCCTCCTCCTCCTCCTCCTCCTTCTCCAACCTCCTCCTCCTCCTCCTCCTCCTCCTCCTCCTCCTCCTCCTCCTCCTCCTTCTCCTCCCCATAACGTGACGCCCCCCCCCCTTAGTGCGTCCCCAGCACTGCCGTAGTGCGTCTGGCACCAGTCTGGGCGGGAGGGGGCCGTCATGCCCCCTCCCGTCCCCCGCCCCCGTCCCCCCCATAACGCCCGTTATGGCCGCGAATAAAACAAATTGTTCATTCATCCCTAATCTGACCGAGGGCGTTCCACTACTCGCAAAGTGCCCACTCGCAAACGACAGGAAAAAACACCATTCTGCATTTGCGCAAGGTATCCTGAATTCCCCATGGCGGATCCAGACCATTTGTGGGCAGTTCCTTTGCGAGTCGTTGAAATCGTTTGTCTGTAGTCCGTGTTACAGTCATCCCGCATAGTAAGGATGAGCGACTTGTTCAAGGTGATTTTTGTATCCTTGCCCCTTCTGTCCATTCTTAGCGACTTTCGCTGGCCAACCTCGTTGAAAAAGCGTTCACATGAGCCTCAAATAGGAGAACAGAGAATGACAGACACATAACGCGGAGGTCGGCGCGGATTTCTCGGATCCGCGCTGGACCCCCCCTCCCTGGCGCGCGGAGCGCGCCAGAGGCGGCGCCGGAGGCGCCGCCAGGCGGCCCCAGCGCGGATCCGAGGGCCGCCCCGAGAGCACCCCCGAGAGCCGGCCGCGATAGCCAGCGCGGCGGGTCTCTCTCGGCACCTCCCCCCGCCGGAGAGGCCTTCGGCCCCGCGGCCTTTGCGGCAGGCGGGGGCAACGCTAGGGGGGGATGGGCATGCGTTCGGGGCGCTGAAGAAGGAACCCTTTTCGATGGGGAGGGGCTCCGTGTTCCTTCCTTGTTTCGCAGCTTGCCCCAGGTTTTCCTTCGGTTTTCGAGCTGAAATCAAAGTTCAACTCATGAAAAATAGGGGCCTCGTTCCTTGTTTAGGGCCCCGACTGGAGGCATAGGGGGGGATGCATCGACCCCCAATCGCCCATTGATCGCCGACAGTGGTCCGATAGCCCCGACCTGCCCAGGGAGGTGCAGGTTCACTATCGGATGCCCATCGCTGATCTGTCGGCGATGCATCGCCGATTCCAGGTCGATGCATCATCGGTGCAAACGAGGGACAGTCGTCCGCGCCGACCCAACACACTAATGCCAAGTGTGCGCCGCCCCACCAGGGGCGACGCGCGCACCGAGAAATCTTGTAGTATCTGCTTCGTGGCCGGCGCTTTCTGGCTATACCGCTCGTCTGACGATGTCGGTGCTCAAGGGACTCTTAGGCCTCCTAGATGGGGTCGGGGCAGATGGTGTCGGAGGATCGCGCCGTATTGTCGATGCCTCAGCGATTCGGCTCGATGCGGAGCCCGATAGTTTCCACGATGGCGTCGGCGATGCGGCGCGATCCTCCGACACCATCTACTCCGACCCATCTGGGAGGCCTCCAGAGACGGGTCAGCGCAAACGGGGGTCAGTCAGAGCGCTGGATCTTGCAGGATCCTGCAGGATCTTGCAAGGCCTGACTGACCTGGATATGGATTGACCTGGGTCAAAAGATCCCCGACGATGACGACGACGATGACGTTACCTCGCAGGATAACAAAACTGCAGAAGCATTAACTTTAGACGCTTCGCACGGACTTCTTGGATCGGCGCTGAGCCCCCCTCGGCGGCGCCTCTGGCGCCGCCCCCGAAGGAGGGGGTTCAGCGCAGATCCAAGAAACCAAACGTTTGGCGTTTTTTCTGCCTCCATCATTTTAGGCCTCCCACATGGGTTCGGAGTAGATGGGGTCGGAAGTTCGCGCCGCATCGCCAATGCACCGGCGAGGCGGCTCGATGCGGAGCCCGATTTTCTCCACGCCTATGTCGCCGATGCATCGCCGACGTCGCCACGGCATCGCCGATGCATCGCCGATAAATCGGCGACGCGTTGGCGATGCGGCGCGATCCTTCGACCCTATCTACTGGGACCCCATCCATGCGGATGCAATTCCTGGGAGGTCAAATTAGATTTTGCCCTGGTCCGAAGTCCGGCTTAATCCCGCGTTCTCCCGCTTAGTCCCGCTTAATCCAGCCTAATCCTGCTTAGTCCGAGGCCCATTCCGGCGGAAGAGCTCCCAAATGGGGTTGAATCCTCCTTGATCTTTTCCACGAACACCTCCCAGTAGTTGCCTCCTAACATCCAGGAGGCCTCGAGTCGTCGTCATCGCCATCGCTTCCTCTTCCCCTCCTGTGCACCCTCCTCTCCGCCAGGGCATCCACCGCCTCCTGGGCCGCTGCTCCGCGCTTAGGCCGGCCCCTCCGGACCTCCGCGGGCGGCGGCACCCCTCCCCAAGCAGTGGCGAAGCGTCCCGGCGTGCCTGTAGGCCCACCAAAGGATGTTCTGAGAACCTTTCGTGGTTCCCACGAAATGTTCTTCGACCATTCCTGGCCGGACCTGTCTTGTCTTGACACATCGGGTTTGTGTTCCAAGAATTTTGTTTTTAATCTTGGAACATCTTTGGGGTTCTAAGAACAGTTCGCGGTAGAACTACAGAAATGCCAGGACGGTCGGTCCCTGCTCCACCTCCCCGTCGGAGGCGGGGGGAGGGCATCTGGCCCGCAGTTGTGGGCGGGAAAGGAGGGCGGACGGGCACCTAGACTCGAAAACGACTTGGCATCGCTCGGACCTGTGCATTTTTCCTCCGGCGAGGACCGTCGAGGAGCATCCTTGATCATTTGACGAGAAAGCCACGCACGAAATCGAAAAAAGGCACAGGGAATGGACGTCTAAGCGATGGCCAGACGAAGGAACAGCATAAACATCAACTTTTGGCGCTCCCGCGGCGCCTCTGGCGCCGCCCCTGGCGCGCTCCGCGCGCCAGGGAGGGGGGGTCCAGCGCGAATCCAAAAATCGGCGCGGAGCGCCAAAAGTTCATGTTTATGCCGCTTGCTCTTCTTCCACTAGACGTGCTCGCGTCTTGGAAGAAGGCGACGGCAGGTTTGGGACAAGTTTCGGAGACCGACCCTGTGGATAGGGCCGGGACTTCCAGGGATTGACAGATCGAGAAGTCGCAGGATTGAGTAGGGATAGGTGTCCGTTATGATTTCAATATTTTTCCCACCAGCAGGATCTCGACGAGAGTTGTGACACCCCGATTCCTCTGTCTTCGCAGGGGTACACTGGGCGTTGGGTGGTTTGCCCTGCTGGTCTGCCGCGCTGATCTGCCGCGTCGGTCTGCCTGCCCCGGGGCGCTGCCAGCGCCACGGGCGGCGGATGCGCCCCCCCCCCCCCTCCGTTCCAGCGCCAGGACGAGCGTGCGAATGTCCACGAGGGCAATGAGCATTCAACTCGTGTCAGCACGAGACAACGCCAAGTTCAAACTCCGATGAGCATAGCAACAACGCGCCATTCGTATACGATTCCGCGGGCCTCTTAGTGGCTTCTTGGGGGGGGGCTACGTGGTGACCTCAGAGGCTTTGGGGGGTTTCTTGTGGCCGTTTGGGGGCTTCTTGGTGGCCTCTTGGGGGCCTCTTGGAGGCTTCTTGGGGGCCTTGTGTGGGGCCTCTAGTAGACGTCTTGGACCGTCTTGAGGCGCTCTTGCGCCGTTTGGCCCCCTGCGGAAGCCGTCTTGGGGGCCTCTCAGTGCCGCCTTGTGGCTCTCTTGGGGTCCTTTTGGGCCGTCTTGGGGAGCCGATTCTGCTATTTGAAATGCGCCCCGCTTGCCCCACTTGCTCACTCGTCCCCACCTGCCCCAGTTGCCCCACTTTCCCCGGCTCTGCCCACTTGCCCAAGCGGGACAAGTGGGCAGCTTTACTTCCGCAACGGCGGGCAAGCGCGGCAAGCGGGGTGCATTCGAAGCAGCAGCCAAGGGCCCGAGTTTGCCACTTGGCCCGTGGTCCCACCCCGCCTTCGCGTCTTTTTTATTGTCGCCAGTTGTTGCCACTCTTCTCCCTTTTCCTCTCTTCTCTCTTCCAGGTTGCCCCAACGAGGGCGACGATCGACTGCTCGCCTTCTCCTCGCCTCCCCCCTCCCTCCCCCCTTTCCGCCCTTCGACCCGAGACAGCTCCAACACGGGCCTCAGCGCAAGGTGGTGGATATAGTATCGGTGCCGAGGTACTGCTGTTCCGCAGAAATGTGCTCGGCACAGAGGAGTCTGCCACACATCTCTGCTCTCTACGACGCTCCGCACATCGTCGCATGCAATACGGTTGCGTTGGGATTTAACGCATACGTGCGCATTCAGCGCGAAGAAGATAGCGCCTGAATTGGGGTCGCGTCATGTTGATGTGTTCCTCCTTGAAGCGTTTCACCAATCATATTCATCCGTGCTCCTCCACCGCCTCCACTCCCCCCCCTGCTCGTCCGCCCCCTCCCTGCTATCCCCATGTTTCCGACGGCG